AAACATCATACCAAATGGGAAAAAGCTGAAAACTCTCTCGTATCTGGAACAAGACTAGGATGCGCACTTTCTATACTTCTATTCAACATAGTAGCAGAAGTCCCAGCCAGAGCAATTAGGCAGGGGAAATAAATAAAGGGCTTCCATATCAGAAAGGAAGAGGCCAAACTGTCAGCTCACAGATATAATGATGTCAAATACAGAAAACCTCAGACTCCACCAAAAATCTGTTAAAACTAGTAAGCAAAATTAGCAAAGCTGCAAAATACAAACTCAATATGCAAAATCAGTGGTGTTATTAGAATAGCGAATTACCTAAAAAAGAAATTCTATTTCCAATATCTACAAAAATAAATACCTAAGAATAAAATTCAACAAAGAATTGAGATATCTCTCAATGAAAAAATATAAATGTTTGATAAACCAAATCAAACAGGACCTCAAAAATGTAAAGACATTCTAGGTTCATGGATTAGAAGAAACAACATTGCTAAAATGTCCATACTACCCGAAACAAATTACAACATCAATGCAACTCTACCAAAATATCAATATTTTTCACAGAGCTACCAAAAAGTGCTACTGAAATGCATAGATAACCACAAAGACCCTGAACAGCTAAAGAAATCTTGAGGCATAATAATAATGCAAGAAGAATTATACCACCTGATATCAAAATACATTATAATGCTACAGTAATTACAAAGCTTATTAGCATAAAAACAGACACACAGACCAACTAAACAGAATACAGACCCTAAAAGTAAACCCATCCATCTCAGCCACTTAATCTTTGACAAAAGCACTAAGAACACGTTACAAAAATTGCAGTTTTTAGTAGAAAAATTGGGTAGCCACATGCAGAGCAATGAGACTAGATCCATGTCATTCACTGTTCAAAAATTCACTCAAAATATATTAAATACTTAGATGTAAGACCTGAGATTTTCAAATTCCCAGAAGAAAACATAAGGGAAAGGCTTCAGGACACTGGAACAGGTAAGCCTTTTTGTTTGCTTTGTTTTGTTTTGTTTTGTTTTTGAGCAGACCCAAAAGAATATGGAACAAAAATAAAAATAGACAGATGGGATTTCATCAAACTCAAGTGCTCTGAACAGCTAAGTAAACAATTAAGGGTAAGGAGAAACTCTATAGAATGGAAGAGAATACCACAAGTTATATATTCTGACAAGTCATTAGATGAACGCAAATCAATAAAAAAAATAATAATCCACTTTAAAATTGGGCAGTTGAAGGGCCAGCATTCTTGTGGTGTAGCTGGTTAAGCCTCTGCCTGCAATGCCAGCATCCCACGTGGGTGCTGTTTCAAGACCCACCTGCTTCACATCTGATCCAGTTCCCCTCTAACACACCTGGGATGGCCTAAATCCTTTGGGCCCAGCACCCACATAGGAGACCCAGAAGGAACTCTGGGATCCTGGCTTCAGCCTGTCCCAACCCTGGCCACTGAAGCCATGGAGGCCATTTAGGGTTTGAACCAGTGGATGGAGAATCTCTCTCTCTCTCTCTCTCTCCTCATCTCTCTGTAACTCTGCCTTTCAAATTAATAAAAGTAAATGTTTTTTAAAAAATTGGGCAGTAGACCTAAACAGGCATTTCTCAAAGACAGACATAATGGCCAACAAGTACATGAAAAAAAAAATGTTTAATAGCACTAACCATCAAGGAATTGCAATTCAGAACTACAGTGACATGCCACCTCACTCCAGTTACACTGGTTATTATCAGAAACACAAAAGACGCCAAATGAAGGCAAGGATGTGGAGATTAGAAAAACACTCGCACACTGTTGGTGGGAATAAGCACAGCCGTTGTGGACACAGTATGGAGGTCCTCAACCATCTAAAATAACTGCCAGATGAACCAACCATCGCTCCTCTGGGTAGCTGCCCAAAGGAGATGAAATCACTCTGATGGAGAAACCCCATGTTTACTGCAGCACTATTCACACCGGCCAGGAAACTGACAGGGCTTAAGTTCCATCCGCTGATGAAGGATACAGACAATGTGCTACACAGGCGCAAGATACTGTCATCTGTAACAAAGCCGATGGACCTGGAGGTCCTTACCTTAAGTGAAATAAGCAAGGCACAGGTCAACAAGTATCACATAATCTCACTTGGAAGCCGAGTCAAAAATAAGCTGAGCTTACAGAAGTTAAAAGTGAAATGGCAGTTAGCAGAGGCTGAAAAGGCAGAGGGAAAGGAGGATGGGTAAAGTTTGATTAATGGGTACTAAGTAACAGTTACACAGAAACAAGAAGTCCCAGGGTTCTTTTGCACAGTAAGGTAAGTATAGATAATGTACTGTACATTTCTCTACTAAAAACAAAAACACTACAAGATAGTGTTTTTGAATGTTTTTGCCATAAACAAATGTTAAATATTTGAGGAGACAGATATGTTTATCTGACTGGATATCACATAATGAACAGACATATAGAAACTTCACATGGTACCCAATAAATGCGTACAATTTTTATATGTCTGTTAAAAAATTCTTTTCTAAACAAAAACTAGAGAGAATCAGGCTCTGCCCTCAGTATCCCCAGATTCCACATTAGAGGGTTCCATTCCTACAGGTCTGCATCTGCAGGCTGAATCAACCACGGATCAGAAATACTCAAGGGGGGGGGGGGGTCCCAGAATTTCCAAAAAAATAAAACTTGAATTCACCAAACAAGGTACACTATACCGAATCCTGGTGAGTGTTGTAATGCGTGGCTTACAAAAGAAATCTGCAAGAGTTGAAAGAAAGAAAATGTCACATTGTCACTCCACTTAGAGTAGGAGTAAACAGTTCAGTCTGCAGTAACGTATGCCGACCTCTTTTTCTTGTCATTATTCCCTAAAACTTTCAGTCTAACAACTGTCACCACTGCATTAGGCATTAAAAATCATCTAGAGATGATACAAAGTATACAGGAGCCCGTGTGGGGCACATTAAGCAGTTAAGTCACCACTGGGGATGCCAGCATCCAGCATCCGAGTGCCTGGGCTCAGGTACCAGCCGAATTTCCAATCCAGTTTCCTGCTAATGCAAATCCTGGGAGACAGCAAGAGATGGTTCTAGTACTTGGGTCCTTGACACCCATTTGGGAGATCCAGACTGAGTTCCCAGTTCCTGGCTTTGGCCACGCACAGCCGCAGCCTCAGCTGTTGCAGGCATTTGGGGACTGAACCCGTAGATGGAAGTTCTTTCTACTACTGCATCACCACCACATAGAAATGTTAAATACTTGAAGACACAGGTATGTTCATCCTGACTGGACATTACATAACATATACATGCATCCAAACATTACACGGGACCCCTTCAACACGTATAATTTCTATTTTCGTTCACCATCTTATATAGTGGACTTGATGATTTTCAGATTTTGGTACTTGTAGGAGGTCCTGGAACCAGCCCCCTGTGGGAACTGAGGGAGAACTATATTCTCCAATCCCACAGCCTGAATCCTTACAAGATGGTCTTTGAAAAACTATAAGGATATCATTCACTTTTTCATTTGAAGGAGAAGGGCATAAAATTGCTTCAAGTTTTTATGATCTATACATAAAATCCATTAATCTCCAAAAATAAAATATTGACATTTTGTTGATACTAAGTTTACTGTGAGCAAAATTCATAAATTATGAGTTTAATGTGCCTTCTCAATTTGAAACATATTTCTCAACTTACAATTGAGTATGAAAATAAAAATCCATTTTGTTAGCTCTTCACAAAGCAAATCATACATGTTAAAAACCTATATATTTTGGGGTAGGGAAGGATGGCTAATTACAGACTGTTAGAACTGTAAAATAAATTCACAGAGTAAACCCCAGAATGAAACAAAAAAGTGTAAAATTAAGAATTTAAGATCCCCCCAATTGATAAATTAGCAATAATTCTAATTTCTACCCAAAGTTTACTGAGAAAACTACTTGTTCTTCTTTCCAATAGGATGTTATAAACACCTATAGCCCCATAAATTAACCATGTTAAAATTTTAGAAGGTTTTAAATTTGTAGATTTCACATCATAATCACTAAAATAAAAGCATAATCTTTAAACATCTCATTTAGTCATTTTTTTCCTACACTGGCCATTTTTGTCTAGATGTGCTTAATTCTGACATGCTTTATCTATTTGTGAATACTTACTTTTAGGTCAATTAATCTGTACACTTCATTTATTCACATGGTCTCTAATACTTAAACTGGAAAATGTGTTCTGTTTTTCTATTCCAATTACTGAAAAAGATACAGTGGTTTTCATAATTCTAATGGGCCCCAAATGCACAATTTCTTGGAGGGGGCAGTAGAATGTTAATTTCTGCCTCTATTGTACTTACATAGAAACATACAAAAATGAACACCCATAGAGTTTATTTTTTTCTTACGTGTGCTTTAAGAACCACACTACTGTTACTGTCAGTTTAACTCTTGGAAAGCAACATACAAATTAGAATTATGCTAAAACAGCAACTGGATTCATTGCTTGTTCGCTTGTTTGTATTTTTTTCACCATATTTGAAACAAGTGACAAATTTCTAATTATATAAACTCATTTAAAATTAAAATTCAATATTTCAATATGCCTGTCAGTAACTCACTCTTTCACAATAAAAGGGGGGGGGCCTAAATCAATAATGGTAATACATTTGCGGATCAGATTCATTTTATAATTATCTTTGAATTATTCATGTTTCAAATATTTTTCACTTTTCTGACGAATTCTAGATACTCCTCACAAAAAATTATATGGCTTTATTTTAATGATTGTTATTTTATTAAGTTCAGATCTGAAACTTAGACTACCACCTGTGACTCATGTTTAACCATTTAACATACTAACACCTCACAGGTGAAAACCAGCATCACTGAACACTGTGCCGCAGTAGGCTCAGAAGTTTTATCTATCCCAGTTTGTCCTGATTTTGTGATAATATGGCATTTGAGCCAGTTTTGAAAGCACTCCATTCTTTTACTTACTGAGGTCACCCTCTCATTAAACAGCAAATAGCACGTATCTGAGAACCACCACAGCAACAGAAGCAAAGAGGGCTTGGAGCTCCTTTTCAGACGCAGTTAGAGTAAGCTGGCCATCTCCGCTTTCACCAGGCTGTAAAAGGAAACAGTCACAGATTCTGCCCCAAGACTCCTGGAAGAAAGGGGGTGGACTCCTCTTAGAGACGTGGATTGATGAGGGTTGTAAGAAAGCCTGTGTTTTGTATTCTAAGGGCACTAAAGGTCACAGTGGTATCAGCACCTCTCCCAGCCTGAGCCAAGGATCTAAGAGGAGCCTGCAGGTGGAAACAGTTGGGTCCCACCCCAGTCTGTACATCAGTGGCTTTATTGAGAGCTCAGAACAGTTGAGAATTGAGAAGCTTATCTTTAGTACTTTGTGTCTTTGATACTTGGCCTCTCTCTTAGCAGAGAAATAAGTTGTTGGCTGGTATGCAACTGATGTGATCTACTGCCTGAACAAATACCATTCACAGTTGCTTCTGAATAAACAAGACACTTTTTAAATTAGTTTACAAAGAATTTTGTATGCTCTTTTGGATGCTGATATGGAGAAATGCAGAAGCCAACTCTCTTAGGTCAGCTCAAGTCCGTCCCAACACTGTTATCATTGTAACACCATTCTGAACTTGAGCTTTGCTTCTTTTCCCTTGTAGTAAGTCATGGCTTCTTGTCAAGCTGTTGGGCTGCAGGTGTTCAGCCTCTGCAGCTCAGCCAGGGAGTTGTACTTACAGCTCAGACAGGGCTAAATGCATGTTTCTAATGAAGCAATTAACTCAAGTGCCCCCTTGTTGAGAAAAGCAGGCAGAAACCTAAAGTGAGTTCAGAGTAAAGATTAGCACACAGCACATGCTGTTAATAGTCTGCAATTAGATTCCTGGTCACATTATTTTATCTGACTTTATTGTTTAAAATAAGGCGGGAAAGAAAGAAAATGTAAATTTTAAACCTAAAGTACTCTCATAGTTTTTTTTTTTTTTAAATGTCCTATCACATTACAAGATTCAAATACAGGAATGTATAGAATTATTTTTTTTTAAAGAGGGTTTCTGTAATGACCATGAGGTTATTTACTTTTGGAAAGCAAGTAACAGGATAATTCAATAAAATTAAGCGCAAAGGAAAAGATTATCTATGTACTTAGTATGTTTCAAAAGCACTGACCATTCATGTTTATCTTTCAACAGAATTCCCACAATGAGGACACTTTAAATTCATAATTCAATCCTAATATTTTCATTATTTATTGCATGTCTAGTAATATTCCAGTTGGTGTTACCAAAGAGTAAATTAAGAGTGTTCTACCAAAAATATAAAAAAATCACAAAATCAATTTACCTTTAGATTTCCAAAGCAATTAAAACAAAAATGTCAAGTACCCCTTCTATAGAAAAATGCTTTCCTGGAGTAGTATTTTCAATTGGGAATATCCTAAACTTTAAGAGTAAAGAGTGTATAAATTATTAAGTAGCAGTCTAATTGTATCACAATTAATCACATTCTAATAACTCTGAAAATGAAAGTTAAGGTAACCAGCTATCCAGGTTTAGCTGGGATTTTTCTGGTTTTAAAACAAAGCACCACATCCTAAGAAATCTCTCAATAACAGGCAAATCAGGAATGTCAGCCACTGTAGGGTAGTAGTAAAACAGTTAGGACTGTTAACATAATCTTGCCCAAAAACTCATAATGTACAGCTGATGTTCACGGAAAATAATGAATTAATTTGATGCTTCTAAAATAAAGCATTTGAACCATGAAACAAGTGTAAAAAACATGACATCTGTGCCACACTCACAGTCTAGTCTCCATTTCCTCTCATGACGGTGGAATGCCAGCTGCTATTCCGAATATCCTGTTATTGCTTGTTTCCTCTACGTATCTTTTACAAACACCATCAATGATCATTTGTTTCAGTGAGTCATCTAAATTTCACTTCCTTCCTTTTCTCTTATCCTGGAAGGTGGGTACTAAAAAGCAATAAAGTGATCTAAGGCCTGAATAAATTCCCCACACAGAATCTAACACTCGGATCCAAAATGTCCTTAAAATTGGACCCAAACTTTAAAAAGAATCACTTCTTTCATTTTCATCAAACGGCTACTCTCACTTACAAACAAGCTTGGCAGAAAGGAAGTGACAACATTTGTCATTCTGGAAACTTTCTAGACTGGCACAGCAACACTTCAGTTCTAACTGCAGCTTCACGTGAGAATGACACTTAACAGACCTATAGAGAAGAGATGACAACATTCCTCAAGGATACACAGTCTTTTATCAATGAGAACTGGGTAATTCTGGTGCCTTGAGCCTGGGGATTGTTGACACCTCTCCTTTTAATTCCAGAGGAGGGAGAGTGCTCCCAGGAAACACCACCCATGAAGCTCACAGAGAGGATCCCTCTTGCCAACTGCGATGCTAAACAGCAAAACGCAACTAAAAGCGCTTACCAGGAAAAGGAACAAAACTGAACTAGTTTCTTCCCGCTCACAAACCCCCATTTTCTTACCAATGTACATCTATCTGTTTCTTAATGGCAAACAACGGAATGAATGATAAGGTTGTGGTACTAGAGAAATGAGAGTTAATCTGGAAGAAAAAAAGTTTAATGTATCCTCAATTGTTGAACGTATCTAAGTTCAACCATCCAAAAATACTTAGGTATCATATGAAACTGATTTTTAACCTACACAAATGGCAATTTCATCTAATTCAGGTGAGAGTAGGAGTTAGCAACAGTACATGAGCACACACATGCCAAACTGAATCCAAAGAAGACTACCAACTTCTTTAAGCGTTCTAAAATACCACTGGATTAGCCATGACCATGCACACAAACCACACAGAATTTGCCGACAAGCTTCAAACCACACAAGCATCAAGACTGCCTTTGTCATTAGGAAGAAGTTGGAAAATGTGTAAGCTTCATAAAAAAAATGATTATTTTTAATCACTCTCACAAAAGAGTTAATGAAATTTTTCATACCTAATAAAGTCACTTTGTATAAGAGAAGTTTAATTTTGCAAGGCAAAATTCACTTTTCAAATATTTAATTTAAAAGGCTCATTAGTTTGAAATAATGACTTGACATCAATGTGCAAGAAACCAGTTGCAAAAATTCCACTCCATCTACCTGTCCATCAGACATTAAGGAAGCAGTGGATAGAAACTTTGTGCTCAATAAAGAAAACTCTAGAAATTTAAAAAAAAAATGAAGCATTCCTTCCAGAAACTTTGAATCCACTTAGGGAAATATAAGAAAATTTTACAAAAATCATAGCTAAAATAGATATATTCAAAGCAATACAAAGTTTTGCTCTGTGGGAGTTAAAGTATTTACAAAATAATAAGAAGTATATCAAGTACATAATAGGTGACAAATGAAAATTGCTATATTTTCCAATGTAAAAAAATTGCAGAACCAAAATAAACAAAAACAAGAGATGAAAAAGAATGCTTATATGAGGAATCTAATGTTCAGAAAATTTAACACCAAGAATACACTATCAGATCCACTAAAAGCAACAATGAAATTCTAATGCCTAGAAAGTTACCTTTAATAAAAAAATATAAAATGCATATTATTAAATTCAATTTTGCCTATATGACTATATCATTTTGATATAGTGATACACAAAGGTACACAAAACGTAAGAAACACAAAATATTCAGACAAATGCCGATTCAAGTGCATGCTTCTCATTTTACCAAGGGCCCTAGCTCCAAAGGAAACAAGGACATACCACAAAATAAATCATAAAATTTTCTAAAACAAGTTGTACTAAGTTTTTTTTGTGTGTATTTTAGTATGACACCTCCCTTGCTCAGGACAAATGATGATCATGACCAATTGTATAAGACTTCTGTTATAAGAAGATGCTTGGATTTTTGCTAAACTCCATTTGTATTTGAGGTCTATATAGGTCTAATAGCAAAGTAGCTATTGCCCAGTGAGATTCAGCCAAGTAAGAACATCCCAAGACATGACAATCACAATAGTTCAGGTATGTCCGATTCAGTATCAAGGGAATTCTCTGACACAGGACACAGGAGAGAAAGAGGGAAAGACAGGGAGAGAGGGAAAGGATGAAGGAGAAAGGGAGAGCGAAATTTGAGAATGAAAATATACGAACAGCAAAAATTAAATTAAGGTTCAAATATGGCTAATATATAGCTAATCACAACATTTACACAAAGAGGGTCTTACTAAATCGTTAATTTCACCTAAGAACTCAAGCCATGTGTGTGTCAATGAGGGAATGGAATAAACATGTCATGAACTGTGCTAGGAACTTGCCATATACTGCTTTAATCTTCACAGTCACACATCTAAAAATGAGAAAATCGAAATTCAGCCGGGTTACTTAAGAGCAGAAGTGTACTCAAGTTTAGAAGTATCTGATACACAAACACCAAGGAAAGACTCAACCCTGGGTGGTCTCTGAATTTCATATCGGACCTCACGTTCTCAGTGTTCCTTCTGTTCTCATCTGATGACGATCAAGACATCACAACTACTGTTAACTCCTACCAATAAGTTTTCTTCATTTCTGCTATTAAATTGTCTTCCCTTAACCTATAAACAAGTTATAACAAAGCCTTACCCAGATCTACATAGTGAGATGATAAATAACTCTGAATTTCTCATGTGGGAACTTCAAATAATTCAGGCAAAGTTCCTTATCAAGATTATTATACCCTTACCATTATACCTACTTTATTTTATATTATTCTAACAATTTTAAATTTAAAAGTATACAGCTCAATCCTTCTTGTGCTACTCATCAAATCCCCCAAAAAATATTTCTTTGAGGAACTCCTTATGTCTCTTGTTTTAAAATGAAAGAGGTGGGGGCCAGGGCTGTGGCGCAGTGGGTTAAGCTGCTGTCTGCAGAGCTGGCAACTCACGTGGGTACCAAGTCGAGTCCCAGCTGTTCCACTTCTGAACCAGCTCCCTGATGTGCCTGGGAAAGCAGTGCAGGATGGCTCAAATGCTTGGGCCTCTGCATCCACACAGAAGAACTAGAGGAAGCACCTGGATCCTGGCTTCGGCCTGTTCCAGCCCCAGCTGTTCCAGCCATTTGGGGAGTGAACCAACAGAGAAGCAAATGAAGGATCCCCTCCCCCCACCAGCCCCCTCTCTGTTTCTCTCTCTCTCTCCTCTCTGTCTCTAATTCTGACTTATAAATAATTTTTTTAAAAATTAGAGGTAAGTTACTAGAATAACTACAGATGTATATACAGTAAATATGTCAATTGATTTTTATATTTATTTTATTATCCTCCCCTTTCCTCACACTCTGACTTTTCTGATATAAATCCTATCTTAAAACTAAACTTACTGTTTTGGGATTCAAATAGAAAAGAACTCATAACACACTGGCATAAATATGTTCCCTTGGCAACACCCACAAATTCTCCCTGAACTACCAGCTATGATAAATTCATGCTAACAGAAAATCAACATGATTCTGATCAAATCTCTGAATCTAACTACTAATCTCCAGGAACACAAAAGATAGAGGAACACGTTCCATGCTACTAAAGAGATACAACCAGCAAAATCTAGACAGAGAGAACTCCAGCGGGCAACCATCTTAGTCTCTTCAACAAAGGAGTTTCAATGGACAAAGTATTGGGTCAGGGCTGGCACTGTAATTCAGCAGGTTAAGCTGCCACCTGGGATGCTGGCATCCCTTATGGACCCAGGGTCAAGTCCCAGCTGCTCCACCTCTGACCCAGCTCCCTGCAAATGCATGTGGAAATCAATACAAGATGGCTGAAGTCCTTGGGCCACTGCCACACATGTGGGAAACTCAGATAAAGGGCTTGGCTCCTGGCTATGGCCTGTCCCAGCCCTGGCCATGGTGGCCATTTGGGAAATGTAGAACCCGAAAGATCTCTCTCTCTGTCTGCCCATGCTCCCCAACCCTCTTCTACTATGCCTTTAAAACAAATCTTTAAAAAGTTATTGGGGGGCTGGCGCCATGGCTCACTTGGTTAATCCTCCACCTGCGGAGGTTAATCCTCCACCTCCATATGGGAGCTGGGTTCTGGTCCAGGATGCTCCTCTTCCAGTCCAGCTCTCTGCTGTGGCCCGGGAGGGCAGTGGAGGATGGCCCAAGTGCATGGGCCCCTGTACCCACATGGGAGACTAGGAAGAAGCACCTGGCTCCTGGCTTCGGTTTGGCGCAGCGCTGGCCGTAGCAGCCATTTGGGGAGTGAACCAATGGAAGGAAGACCTTTCTCTCTCTCTCTCTCTCTCTCTCTCTCTCACTGTTTATAGGTCTACCTGTCAAATAAATAAATAAATAAAGGTATTGGGAAAAATATACATGTTAAAAGATACTTAAAACAACAGCAAACTTAAATCATTATTCAACCAAAAAACTTAAACTTTTTAAAGTAACTTGAGAAAGCCCAAGTCAAATTAAGGTATTTGGTAACATTACAGAATTACTGTTAAATCTGATATTTTAAAAGAATAGTGGCTATGTTCTATGAAGTGTCCATTTTAATTATATATATATATAGTAAATTATGTACATTTTTTAATGCTATGATTCCTGGGATTTCTTTGAAAGTAATTTAGAAAAGAAGAGCAAAGGGTGAGGAGAATAGAAACGAAATGAAATGCACCATGGGATGATACCAATGATGCTATATGATCAGTGCATGAGAAGCCATTAGAGTCCCTATGCTTGTATGTTTAAATTGTCCATAATGCATTTGTCAGCTGTCTGTTACTACAACAAAATATCTCAGAAAACAGACTCTATACAGAGAAAAAGTTTATTTTTGGCTCACGGTTTGGCATGTTCAGAGTCCAAGAAACAGCAGGACTCACTGGGTAGGTCTCTGGTTAAGGCTCTTCTGCTGGCACAATGCCATGGTGGCTCAGAGAATCACATGGCAAGAGAGAACACCTGTGTCTAGGTCACTCCTTATGAAGCCACCAGGATTAGATCCTGGGGCTCCACACCAGCAACCTTATCCAACCCAATCACTTCCCAAAAGCCCACCTCCCAACAGTGTAACTGGACACTTGCCACTCTTTCAGTGCCATTATCATAAGACTTTGGGGACCAAGCCTTTAACACACAGGCCTCTAGAGGACACCCAAACTGACCTCCAAACCATAGCACGTATTTGTCAAAATAAAGTGATTTCCAGCAAATGTTACTGAGCATCAGGCTGATGATACTCATTAGAGGCATACTTGTAAAAAGATGGAGAAAAGACATCTATTAGGAGTCTAATCTTAAATATATAATTTAAAGCTTCAAAATGAAGGGAATATATCTAAAGAATTGACTTCTTTGAAACTTCAAATAAGTATTATACCAGGAACACCAGCACAAATGCTCTTAAAAATATTTTAAACTGAACTTAAGAACAATAAAAAAGCTGAAATTATTACAATATTTATCAGCACTGTATAAATAACCTGTTCAGAAAGCCAAGACGTGGGCGTTTGGTGTAGTAGGTGAACACGCCACTTGGGATGCCCAAATCCCATACCAGAGTGCCTGGGTTTGAGAGCCTGGCTCCACGCCTGCTTTTAGCTTACTGCTAAGACACATTTGGAATCAGTAGGTAATAACTGGGTCCCTGTCCCCGACCTGGTAGAGCCAGACTGAGTTCCTGGCTCCTACCTTTGGCCTGCCCTAGCTGTTGCAGGCGTGTGAGCAGTTTACCAGCAGTAGATGGAGGACCGCTATCTGAGTGTCTGTCTCTCTCTGCCTCTCTTTCAAATAAACATCTGTTAAAGCCAACACATAGTATATTAATATTACAGTATTTAAGCTACTTAGTTTGTATATTGTTATTACATGTAGCACCCATAGTAAAGAAACAAGCAGTAATAGAAGTGCTGATATTTTCCAAGATTTCTCATCCTGTGGCATACCATGAGAACCATGCCATTTGGGATGTTTGAGCTCAGCAGTCTAACAGTAAGTAGTCGTGTATTAGCTCTTCAGTGCTGCAACTACATGCCTGAAACGAGCTCCTACGCATGAGGGTTACTGTGGTTCACAGTACAAGATCAGGCGGGTACCACCTGGTGAGGCTGGAGAATGGCACATTGACAGAGACTGTGGAATTCAAGCTTGTGAACATCCACGTGAGTTCAGCTGTCATGTCTTGTTCTTTTTTAATATTTATTTATTTATTTATTTGAAAGAGTTACACAGAGAAAGGAGAGGAAGAGAGAGAGAGAGAGAGAGAGGAGAGAGAGGAAAG